AGTAAAAAGTGTCTTTTTTTGTCAAAACTAAATGCAGACAGATATCATGTTTGATAGGACTTGGAAACGTTTCTCGTCAGTCTCGCAACCATTTTATAACATTGTTCATCACCGAGGTTGAAGACGATCGATCAGGAGCTCATCCTCACTATTGGAACAACAGAACGGAAACTGGTGGGCATCATGTCTTTGTAGCTTCGTGATATGTAAGGGTGTCGTCAGTAAATAATTAATATAAAATCGAATGTCAAAATGTAAATTTCTGGTCGATCAGAGAATTTATAATAACGAATGATTCAAATTCGTTGCAACATCGAACCTGTTTCGAACGATTTCTGAAAAACTTTGGGAAAGGGATTCACCACACTTTATATAACAGCCAATGAAAAGGTTAGCAGGGATCGCAATGGATTTTCTGCTAAGAGAAATCGTCTTCAATTATTTTTTTATTTTATTGCATACCTTTGCTTTGGCAATTTCAAGTGTGCCAAATAGGAATTTAAGATAATAGAAAAATATGAAAAAGTTAAAATTAAAATAAATTTAAAAAAAATTAATAAATAAAAATATGCTAAAAAATTATATTTTTAAAAATCATTAAATATATTGAAATGTATTTAAGAAAATTCGATGTGAAGGAATAAGCTGCAAATATATTTATTTCATTAAAAAAAATATGGTTGGTCTTATAAATGATCCTGTCATATGTAGCTCATATGTTATTATCTCTCTGGGTCCTGGATTTTCTTAATTGCTCAGCAATCATTTTTTTCATAATTTTTTTTTGTCTTGAATAAAATTTTTAATATTTTAAAATTGGTATTAAAATAATTTTGAAAAACATTAAATTCCATAAAAAAAAATTAAATTGAATTTCTAAAATCAAAAAAGTATTTTTAGTCTCAATTCAGGTTGCTATTGTTCCTTTGTATTGGTTTTTTAATAAATTTACTTAACTCAAGCTCTACTACGGCATTTTATCTTACATAACCTCAAAATTTCAATTTCGACGGCCTAAAAATTTTCAATTTTTTTTCATAACTAATTAAATAAAATTTAGCATATAAGTACATATGTTTGTATGTAAATATATAACAACCATTTTTGTATGACAAAACAGTCAGTTCAATTTGATACACGAAAATTTGAGATTTCCGTTTTTTCCTTAACATACACGTGGCTATATATGTATATGTATATGTATGTAGTTCAAATTAGGGGCGTGGTGAATTTAATTAGTTACTCTATATTTAAAATACAAATACATATGTATTAATTTCCAAGCGAAACTAAATTAAACTTATATAAGTAAAAGTGTATACATACATACGTACATGTACATATGTATGTATGTCTGATATGTAAATTAAAGCACGATAAATGGCAACATGCGGTGTGCACATGTCCACAACAACAAGCAGAAATTGAAATATACGAACTTTACTAAATTGCAATATATACAGAAATAATTAAATGTACTCCTATATATAAATATATATACATATATATATATATATATGTATATATACATATATGCATATGTTTATGCGCGTAGACGTGTGTAATCGCAATGTTACGAGCCGCTATAAGCGCGCAAAAATATGGAGTAACAATTTCAAACTACAATAACAACACACAACAACAACAACAACAACAACAACAATAACTACCACAGAAGAAGAAAAAAGTGAAATAATAAAATGTGAAGGTAAATAAATTAATATGAAAAAAGGCCGCCAAACAACAATAACAGCCAACACATATCGCGCAACAACAATTTCGATTTGAACACGCCCCTCCTGAATGAAATGAAGAACGAACGACGATGATGAGCGCGAGCGCCAACACGAAGCAAAAACAAAAATGAATCGAATGTGAAAGGGCGTATTTTTAATATAAATATATACGACTAAGGTAAATGAGCAATAAATAAAAAAATATCTATAGATATGTATGTACATAAACATATATAAAATCAACACACACAAACAGGCAGAGCGACATGCCGTTTGAAACGATGGCAATGCTAACCACATAAAGCTACGCGTAGCCACCACCGATAACTGTTACAGCCACACACAAATGCGCATTTGTCTAGAGGTGTAAATAAGATAGCGCCAATGAGCGCCTCACCAAGCGCGAACGAGCGCGCACGAATGATATCAACACTGTATTGCTGCTGCTGCTGCTGCTGCCACTGCTGCTGCAATGTATCGTATCAGCATGGCGAGAGCGACGCGCACATTATTTTATAATGAAACGATACGATTGTAATTCCACCACCTGCTGGGCAACAGCAACAGCAGCAAACCCAACAACAATAACGGCAACAAACACAATAACGACAGTAGCAGCAACAAAACAACCAACCATGCGGCCAAACAACCCGATTGCTAAGCGCGCACTGCCAACGCCGAAAACAAGTTCCACGACGATGACGAACGATGCGACGCCACCCGACGCGCACAGCACTGCACAGCATAGCAAAGTAAGCTAGCAAATGCGCTCCAATAGCAATCAGAAAACAAAATGTATACATACATACATATAATATAATTGAAAGAAGAGGCAGCAAACAAGCAATACAACAATAAAGTAATCAAATATTATACACATCGTGGTTGTTGCTGTTTCTGTTGCTGTTGCTTTAATAATTGTTAGTGAAGTGTGAGCGCACGGTGTTAGTGGTGTAAGGGCGATTGAGCGCCTCTATGTATGCTGCATGCGGATTGGTTGCGCTTATACACGGAAAGCACCAACAAAGCACAATAAAGACCCCTTAATGATAGCCCGATTTCTGTTTTGATGAGAGCGTATATGCTTGTATATGTAGATATGCGCTCACCACTTCGATGTGTGTGTATCATATGATAGCCTTAAGGCGCGCGCGGTGCTGAGGCGCTTATCAGGAAAATAAAAGGCAGCAGCAGGCTGCGGCGGCAGCAGCGACAATCAAATGAGCGTAGCGTTCCGCTAAGGAGAAAGAAAATATATGAAACAACTTAAAAAAGTTAGGTAAGCGCGCTGAGAGCGGAACAAGCGCGTAGCATAGGAACAACGTGTGTTTCTTTTGGCGGCGCTGCGAACTGATTGGCATTGGCACATTGGTTTGTGGAGCGCAAAAAAGCTTAGTGATTCTTTATATGAATCAAAAACGATGGGCGCTATACTTTTCAATTACATATGTACCATCGGCGTGCGCGCACTCTCTCTCGCTCTCTCATTTATTGTCAAGCAAATGTATTTTCCTCTTCATACACGCGCGATATTTAATACCACTTATCGCTAGCGGCAATCAACATTTTCAATCAATTAATGCAGCCAACCGCGGCGTCGAGCGTTAGCGTGCGCTCTCTTTGCTTCTCATTGTGTTTTCGTTATTTATTTATTTATTTTTTTGCTGTTTTTCTGGGTGGTGTTTTATATTGTTGCCTTTTGGGTATCCGCATACAAGTCGTGTGCTCAATTCCGATTGGAATCAAGTTTTTCCTGCAGCGCGTCACTGCATTGTGAGCGTCAGCGTTAGCGCCTGCTTCGAATCAAATCTGATTGAAACGTATCAACGTGGTTGTTGTATGGCATGTACTTCACACCACCATCATCCTCGTTGTGTAGTCGTCAAAGCGGATATTCCGGATCACCATGCCGTGCTGTGGCGCTCTTCCAATTCGATTCTCGCTCGCGCAGTCCGCCGTTTCGCTGTTGCTCCGCTTAGTTAGTTGTTTTGTTGGGCGCACTCATTCGCGTTTGGATCTTGGCCGTTCGAGCAACGGTGTATAGTTTGTTTTTTCGTGCAGCGGGTAAAAAATTTGCTAATTTGATTTTTCGATATTGGATTTTTGATAGCGCGTACATAGGTACATGCATACATACCATATACATACATATATCTGTGGGGAAGTAGGAAACAGACGCTTTGGACTTCGGATTCTGGTTTTTAGAAGTGAAAAAATAAGCGTTGTAAAATAACGGTGTGCGTTTGGAGATTTTCCAATAAAATCTTAAAAAAAAAAAAAACAAAAAAAAACAACAACAACAGTTTAAAGTTTCGTTGTGAAACAAAGTGAAAATTTTGAAGAATTTCAAAGAAGAATGAAACAGTGAAAGGGTGTAAAAGAGTGTACGCTTAATAAAAACAAAAACAAAAATGCACAAATAACGGTCATAAATGTGGTTTGTGTGCAAGTGATAAACATATAATCATAAAACAAAATATAAACAAATTAAAACTGTCTTGGAGAGCGCAAAAAAACTGTTAAAAAAAATAAAATAAAATAAAATTTAGCAGAAACTTAATGTGAAGGGCCAACAAAAAATAAAAAAAAAATAGATATGAAAATAGAAATACATTTTAAAGCTAAATTTTAGAACTTGGAAAAAAATAATTCAGAAAACTAACAGAATTTACTACAAAATTACTAGCTTAACATTACAGCAACAATAGTCAAATAAAAAATACAACCACGCACGCTAAGACACCAACATTTTGGCGCGCCGCTGTACAAACTGCAAGCGCGACGCTCTTATCAGCGTCCAGTGGGATTAAATTAACGGCAACGTCAACGCCGAGAGGCGACGCCGCAGCATCAATACAATGCACTTCTGACAGTATAACACTTATTAAATTATATTGTTCAGCTAAATAACGGTACAACACTTACTGCAATCCATTGTTATAATCAATAATCAATCAACAGGCGCCGGACAGCGAAATAAGAACGCTGCGTGTGAGTCAAGTGTTATGACATTTTATTAAAAAAAACATCTATTTATAGTTGGTGTTGTTGTTACTGAATGAAAAACTGAAGTGTTATGCAATTTGACAGTTGATGTAAGAAAAAACAAATGTGATAGCTGTGACATATTTTTTTTTCAATAAAATAAACAAATTGGAATTTTCACAAAAACAATTTGAAAATACTGAGCAGTGCATAAAAAAATTAAGAAAAAAATACTAAAAAAAAAAAAAATAAGTGAAAAATCTTTATTTCTAAAAAGAATTCAATAGTTCTTGCTTAATTTTTAACGGTTTTCTTTCATAAAATACTGTCAAATCCAAGAACAATGCTTCTATAGTAAGATAATATATTAAAAAAAAAAAAAAAAAAAAACAAATATAACTAAATTACATTGTGACAAATTTGTGTTGTAAAAATAGTGAAACTCAAAAACGTAAGAGTTTTGAAAGCCAAAAGAAAGGTGTAAAAATATTTTCCCATAAATGCAATTGCAATATAATATGGATTGTACTGGCCGTCGTTCAAATCAAACAGAACGTGACTCGGATTTGGGGGAAGATTTGGTGAGTAAAGAGAAAATTATTTAGAATTATGAAATAAAAAGACGGCCGCGGTAGCTGGGTGATTAGCATTGCATGCTGCCATTCGAAAGACTCGGGTCCGAATCCTGGTACGACCAACCTTCAAAAGTTATGAAAAATTAATTTAAATAAAAAATTAAGTCAAATTTGCGCTTGGCTCTCGGCAGGGAATGTCAACCCCTCCTAATGTATTTCTGACATGAAATAAAGACTCCTTGTAAAAAAAAAACCATCAGCCGTTCGTAGGCGGCCTGGAATAAAGTGTAGGTTACACCATTTCTTGGAAAAACATCAAGACGCAAAACCACAAATTGGAGGAGAAGTTCGGCCGAAAATCGTTTCAGCGGATACAAAGCGCCAATAATGTACTTATATGAGAAAGACTAATTGCGAGCGGAACCGAAAATCTGATACTCGACTGATATTTATATTAAGTACACAGATCCAAAACCAATTTACCGTTAGTAATAGTAATAACACAAATAATAAGATGAGAATTGGGTATATTTTTCTGGAGCAATGTCAGCTATTGGAATCAGTGGAGCTTCAGCCTCTTTGACGTTAAGCTAATTAATTCACAAGCTATGCAGGATTCTCCAATAAGAGGAGTTCTCTTTAATAGTCTCTTATTCCCGGAGAAGCTGTAATTTTTTGACATTTGAAAAGTAAAAACTACGCCAGTGACAAATTTTTGGCGATAGACGCTTCAACAATGCATTAAAATGATTAAATTTCACTATAAAAATGATGGAAACCCGGCAGAGACGACTCATAAAACCAGTATATTGAAGCACCTTTTCGGGACGTAATACAAAAATTCGGTGGAAAAAATAGAGCTGCTGAAACAAATTAGTGATGTGAAGAATAAAACACGTGCACGTCGCTCAAGCACAACTGAGAATATTGCTGCTGTAGCCCAAAGTGTTGAAGAAATCCCATTCCAGTGTTGATTCCTCATCGTTTTCTGGATTTGGCCATGCCACAAACGTCATTACAACGTATTTTGCATAAAGTCTTGGTTCTCAAGGCTTATGAAGTTCGGTTAGCACGTGAACTCAAGCCGGCCGATCATCAAGAAAGTCGTGTCTTTGCTGATTGAGTCCTGAAATTGCATGAAAATGTTCCCGAAGTTCATATCAAAAAAACATATTGACTGATAAGCCTCATTTCCACCTCGATGGCTACGCCAATAACAAAACTAACGCAAAACCTGGGCTTGAAAAACCCAAGATTTATTTTTGAAAGCCTCTCCATTCTCCACGTGTATCTATGCGGTGCGGTTTATGGTCCGGCGGTGTCATTGGACAATACTTTTTCGTAAATGAATCGATTACGCTATCGAGAAGTGATTAAGATTTTTTTTGGTCGCAATTCGATGGCATTGGTCTGAAAAACATTTACTTTCAACAAGACGATGCCAAGTCTTTTAATGGAAAAGTTTCATTGAATATCAAAATCAACACCTCTTATTAGAAAATCAATTCTGTTGAGTTCGGTGTATTGCGCATTTGATATATCCGCAGAAGAGCTATTGCACCAGGGTCAAGGTTCTCACACTGGTACATTGGCTTTATACAAGTGTCGTTAGATCCATAAAAACATATGGAGCACTAGTATGGTGAGCGGCACCTCAAGCTTTTCACAAGGTCCTGTGAGAGAAGGAATTTTTAATGTTGAGAAAATTGTGACTTTTTCGAAAAAAAATTATTTTGTATTGTGGAAATGATGCGCCCGATACTGTTCTGGGACCGATGTACTTCAGATAAAAATTGTGATATTTCGGTTGGATTTTTTCGACCGATTTGATTTCCCAAACATAATGCATAATGTACAGCTAATATTCTCTGCCTATGAGTATTGATACAAACACAGAAATTAATAAACTTTACCTTGACTTTCTATTGATCTTGACTTGACTTCGCAGCTCAGTTGGAAGCAGCCGTTCCGAAGTGTGTCGACTTAACTGCTTACCAAATTTCCAACCCAGGTTTCATGGCCAGTTACAATGGAGACCTACCGTTTATTTTACGCAGCCTCTGAGCGGCTAAGGGATTTATATGGAGAGTTTTTATTTTATGCCAGAAACCCACACGCAGGGCTTGACATTCCCTTTCAAGGGATAACCGCAACTAGAAAACTTTATTTTTTTATAATTTTAAATATGGTTTGAATCAAGACTTGAACGTGTTTTTTTCAGACGTGCGGTTTTCAATGTGACAATACGTTTTTCATGGTCGTTTTTTACATCTGTTTCTTGATTTATACTTCGTTTGGTTTGCCATTTCATGGCAGATTGACTCCGAAACAAATCGCGTAAACTTATTACCAAAATAACGGTACGTAATACGTTTACTCCAATGGATAATGCGCATCCTCAGACGGGTCGGACAGTACACATCTAAGACCCTGTTGCTATTGTGAAGCAGAGTGTTCAAGAAGCGCGCAATAATTGGAGCTGTCCCCAACTATTTTATGGTAGATTTTCGAAAGGATCTTAGCTTGCGAGCTTAAAAAATTCAAGTCGTGCAAAAATTAATGCCGAACCACCACCACAAGTGTCTCACAAGTTCGGTAAATGCGCCCAAAACATATTCCGATTTTTGCAAGAAAATTTTTTTCCAGCGAGGAAGCTCACTTTTGGTTGAATGGCCACGTTAAAAAGTCTAACATTTCTTGAATAATGAAGTCGGCCATAATATTAGAGTCAATGGGGAAACGCTATAGAGCCATGATTAATGACTTTTTCGTACCAGAATTGGTGCTTGTTGATGTGGACATTCTTTGGCTCTAACAACCTGTAAAACTGTCAACGAAACAGTCAATTTCATTGATGGAAACTTTCGCGAACCTGTGACGTGGCCTCCGAAATTATGCGATTTAACTTCGCTGATATTTTTTTTCGTGGGCTTATGAGAAATCACTAGCCTACACAGATAAGCCCGAGGCGAATCATGTCTTCGAAGTGAATATTGGGTGCGTTGTTGCTGATATACGACAGCCAATTGCTGGAAATAGTGGTCGAAGATTGGCCCTCTCGGCTGGAGCTAGCCGCGGCAGTCACTTTCCTCAAATATTTATATTTAAAAAAAAAATATGGCAAACTATTTTCCTTAACAAAAAGCTAAGCTCTTGGCCATAACCTTTAATTAGGAGTTTTTTGTTTCTACTTGAAACCCATTTGTTTAAAAAAAGACCCTTTACTTTGTTATGCCTGTTCTTGGTGCTTCCTGTATAAATAATTGATTTTATTTTATTTATTGAGTTTTTACAATTTTCACTTTTTAATATTTAAATAAAAGCGGTGATTTTATGACTTCATTGAATATAAAAATTTTATGTCCAAAACAAAAAAAAAAAAATAAAATAAAATAAAATAAAAAGTAAAAGAGAAATTAAAAAGTTGAGAAAAACGAGCACTTAGAGCAAATACACAAAAGATTTATTAAAATAATTAGCTCACGGGTGCAATTGATTTGTGTTCGATCATTAATTTGATTAAATAATGTTGCTGCATAAATCAAAAATGCTAAAGTCATCAAAGTGTTGCGAAAAAATTCAGTGCTTCAAGTGTGTGCGTGTTGTTTGTGTAATTTCGAGAATTTTAATACAAAATTTTTTTTTGGTGCATTGCCCTCTCTTCAATTATTTCAGGATTCTCCGGAGCACCAAATGTACTTTGGCTGTAAGCGACTTTAAAATTTTTCCAATTGCTTGCGTAAACCCTATATTTATGGCACTGGAACTGTTCCCAGTAGCTGATTTCACAAAGAGACTAATTTTTTCATCAAATCAACTGTACGCAGTCCTGCGAATTATTAGTAATTATGAACAAACCAACTCACCTGCTTTCATAAGCGACATAAAAATGTGCACAACAACAAAAAAAACAGTTGACTCACCAACCGTCATAACCGTCATTAGACATTTGGGGAATTTTATAAGAAAATAATTAATAAGCGAAAAAGGCATTAATAAAATCAATAAACTGTGATTGCCGTCAATCTTTGTGGCGTTGCCTGTGAATTATAACGATAAATAAATTCAATTAACTTTACTCATTAATTTCGATTTGCTTGCAAGCAAGCGTAGCAACATTGTTGTTGTTGTTGTTGCGATGCAAGTATTGTTCGAGGTGAAAAAAAAAACGGTGCTGGGCTATAAAATCGACAAGATCGACGACGTCAATGGATTTTTTTAGATGAATAAATTTATACATGCACAAATATATACATACATACATACATACATACATACATACATACATACATACATGCATATATATGTATTTATAAGTATCTAAATGTGTATGTAAATACTTGACGGCATTTATTTGTATTTATATTTATATTCAATTAAAGTTTGCCAATGACTAAGTATTCTCGACGAAAGTCATACAAAGCACAACAACAAAAACAAAGGGGAAAAAAAAACGAAAACAAATTCAACGCGCAGGTAAATGTGAGAAATCAAAAACTCGTCATATTATTAAGTCAATATCGAAAAATTAAATTACACACACACATACATATATATACGCACACATATGTATATGCATATGAATATACTCAAGCGCACAACACTTATAACAAAAATTTGAATTTGAAATATTGATTTGTATGTATATTTGTTAGCATGTAAATAAAACGTTGAATACAACAACAAACAATGCCTTCAACGTGTTGCCGGCAAAAATGAAATAATATTTCAGATTTCATTCTAAAAACGGCCGTTGAATTGATATCAACGGTAAAGAGTGTTATTGGTTTAAAAAAAAAATTTTCTGAATTTTTATTTTAATTTTCTTTTTAATTTCCTTTATTTCTTTTGTTTTTTTTTTCTTATTTTAATTTTAATTTTTTTTTATTTATTTTATTTCTCTTATTTTTTAATATTTTTTAAAAATTTTTAATATTTTTTTTTATTTCCTTTATTTTTTTTCTTTTTTTTTATATTTATTTTTATTTTTATTTTTTTTTTAATTT